TGGTCTCTGCCTATTGCTGGGCTGGCAGAGTGAAGATTGCCCTAAGACCCGGCTCCAGTTCTTTCTCCATGGAGGGTTCTCTGACCACTCTGGCCCACATGGAGGACTCTGAAGTCTTGTGGCCCTTGGAATCTGTCCTATACTATTTTGCAGTTAATTACAACAGCCTTAAACTGATCTTATAAATAAAATGAGGACACGGATACAAAATTTCCTAGCACAGTATCCAACAAGACTTCCTTTATCTACTCTACCACCCCTGGAAAGAGAGTCCTCGCCAGAACACAGAATTAATGAGTGGGTCCTTTAAGGAGAGGTGACTCAGCCCATCTTCTCATCTGTTATGGCATACAGGCCCTAACAAGAAATGTTCTCCTCTAGATCCGGAAATTGTCGCTGCTTTTGAAATAATCCAGATGGTATGAATTAGAGCAGAAAGCCTTTATAAGTTGGCCCATTATTATCCAGATTTGAATATACAATGTTAGTAGAAGTGGTGTGGCCTGAATGTTTGCTGGGGTATTTGAAACACTGGTTTCTGAGGAACACATATGAGTAAATAGGGGGTGGATTATTAACTTAATACATATATTAAAGGCAGAGCCTATTTATTTCAGCAAAATTAAAACATTCTAAAATTACAATAATACACACCTGTAAAAACGTATATATAACAGAAGTTAATGAAATGAAAAGCGGTTGTTCCTTCCCTCCTGTCCACCTCCCTCCCAATCTTAACAGCGTGGAGGGGCTGGGGCTGCAGAGGCAACAGGACCACCAAGGTCCCTGCCTTCGTGGGCCTTCCATTCTAGGGGGAGGAGACAGACCATAAGCAAACAAAGAAATAAACAGATAAAATGAAGGCTGGGAAGGTTGCTTTATAGATATGGAAGTGGGATCCGAATGATGAAAAAGAATCCATCTTGAACCCTTGTGGGAAGAGCTCTCCAGGCAGACTGAAGAGGAGGTTCAAAGGGCCAGAGAACAAACGAGGCGGCTGCTAAAGCTGGTACATTGTGTGCCAAATCGAGAGTTCCCAGAGGGGGCGGGGCCAGGTCATGCACGCACGACTCGGTAGGAAGTTCAATTTCATGCTAAGTACAATGAAAAGCCATTTAAGGTTCTTAATTGGGGCAAGGGGAGCAGAGATCTGATTTCCATTTTTGAAAGACCCCGATGTATTGGGGGCAAGAATGGACGTCTGCAGACAGGGTGGAAGAGATTCATTCACACACACACAAACACACAGAGTTTAAGAGATAGATATGTGTATATATACTTTTTCCGCAACTTGTTAGTGGTGCACATATTTAGAACTCCTTTTTGAAATTATGTTGTCAGTTTACTGTCTGTCTTAGAAAACCAAACACATCTTGTTTTTTGACCTTTCCCTATCCACCCAAATGCAGTAACTTAGTTGGAAAACACAGTTTTGGCATTTTAACATGGATCCAGAATGTGTTCATCAGATTTGGCTCTGAATAACTTTCGGATTGTTCCAAAAATCAGATTTGTTCTCGAAGAAAGAATTCTTTTCAACAAATTCAGTGCCTACTGGTGTGATACCTTTTGAGCAGTATCATTGGGATATGTAGATAGCCTGCCAAGGTGATTACTTTCAAATGAAGAACATTTATGTGAAGTTATATTCATTTATTCACCAAGTAATTATTGAGCACCAACCACTAAGTCCCAGGCACTGTGTTAGGCACTGGGGATACATGAGTGAACAAGCAAACAAAATCTCTGCCTCCGCCAGGCTGACATTCTAATAAAGCAAGAAGCACCAAACAAACAAAAAAAATGAGTAAATTCTATATTATGATTAAAGACTATATCAGAGAGAGGTAAGGGAGATTTGGAAAAGAGGAGGGCATTCCAATTTTAAATACATATAATGTCAGGTTAGACCTCACAAAGAAGATGACTTTGGGTAGACTCGAAAGGGGAGAGGTAAGCAATATAGATGTCAAGGGGAAGAACATTCAAAGAGAGGGAATAGCTAGTGCAAAGGCCCTGAGGCAGGAATGTGCCTGGCAGGACTGAGAAACAGTGAGGTAGCTAGCTAATATTTCGCTGAATAAGGTTAAGAGTTGTAGGACATGAGGCCAGAGAGGTAAGGAGATAGAGGGCAGGTCATAAGAACTTTGTAGCCATGGAAAGAATTCTGGCTCTCACACTGAGGGGAGCCAAAGCAGAGAAATGACCTGATCTGAATTATATTTTAAAATAATTACTCTGACCACTGTGATAAAAATAGACTACAGAGGAGCAAGGGTGGAAGTTTTGATATGTTTTGGAAAACAACAATACTTGATAGTCACATCCCCTTAATTTTGCTAAAAGGGAGGAAAGCAGCCAAAGTAAAGCAATTAAAAGAAAAATTCTGGATGATATCTTTCCCCTTTATCTTTCCTTACCATAGCAAAGTTCTATCAAGCCCAACTCCTTCAGCCCTGGGCTAAAAGTGTCCTTAGATTATTTTCAGGCTGCAGCCAAATTCTTTACCTTGTCCTGCGTATCAGTCAGAATCTCTTTAGCTGCAACTGAATACCTGACCCACAATGGCTTAAGCAATAGGCCATTTATTCTCTCCCATGTGAGCACCTGGAGGCAGGCATAGCCGGGGCAGGGTAATTTAGCCACTCAGTGACGTCTGGGTTCTGGGTCACCTTTCCTGTGTTGTTCATGCTTTTCTCTCATTGTTGCCGGATGTGCCACCACAGCTCCAAACCTGTCTCGCTCACTGGAGGATGGGCAAGGCAGGAAAGAAGGAAAAGACTTATAGGCTTTCAGGTACAAAACCCTTCCCCTGAAGCCCGCTACCCCTCACTTCCCATCACATGCTCTCCAGAGTTAGGTCACATGCTCAGCTCCTAAACCAGTCATTGACAAGGGGGACACAGTGGTTCTCAAAGTGTAATGGCAGGAACCCTGGGAAAGGGATCCCCAAGACCCTTTCAGGGAGTCTCAGGGAATCTGCAGTGAAAACACTATTTTTATTACAATACTAAAATGTTATTTGCCATTTTTTACTCCCATTCTCTTATGAGTGTACACTGGCGTTTTCCTAAAGGAACCTGAAACAGCGCGACAGAGTGAACGCAGCAGATTGGAAAATCCAAACGCCCCCCATTAAGATGTTAAAGATATTTGCAAATTTTTAAAATAACACCACTCTTTATACTACTTTTTGGAAAAGGTAGTTATTTTCCATAAAAATGTGCTATTTATATGTTAAGATGTAATTATTTTTATTTTTTAAATAAGTATTTTTAAATTTCTCAGCTTTAATTTCTAGTATGGTAAATATCAATAGATTTAACCCACATAAACAAAAGCTCTTTGGGGCCCTCAGTTTTTAGGAGTGGAAAGTGGATCCCAAAAGCAAAAGATTGGAAACTGCTGGTTTATTCAGACAGCTCTGATTCATCCCTGGGGCTGGGGGTGGGGCCGAATATTCTGGCGCTCACCGGAGCCCCAACCCAAAACTTCTTAAAATCCGACTCTTTTACTGGTTTGCCAGTTTGCCAGACGCTGCTTATTGAATTGATTGATCTCAACACTTGTAGCTGATCAGAGAGTGACCTCTCGCTTTCTGTGAGGAAGTGACACGGTCAAAAGGAAGACTTAAGTGTTCTTTCAAAGAAAAACTCATATTAAGTTGATTCTTAAAGTGGGAAGGACTGTGGGATTTTGGGGGGCGGACAGCTGAAATTTCAAAGCCTCTCTCCGGAGCTGGGGTAACCCCCTCCCCCCATCAGCAGTCTGGGTTAGGGAGTAAGATAATCATTGGCAATAATTGGTTTCTCCCTCCCCACCAGCCATGCGCTAATAGCGTCCTTACAACGATGGGCCCTAACGGGCCGTTTGGCTGTCAATTACCTGTGCTTAACAGCATCTAGCCGGCCTCTTGATCGCTTAGGCCAAAGGCGAAAAAGAGGATTTCGTTGGACTCTGAAGTTGTCACCAAGGCGGACTCATTTTCTTGCCTGGCTCTTTCACCCAGAATTGGTGACGTATGCGTGTAGATTGGGAAGGGAGCACTCCTCCCTCCCTTGCTCTTCAGTGTTAATATTTCTTATTCTCATCTCATACTATTTTATTTTCAAAGTGTTCTCAGGAGCCTCCTTAAAATACTAAACCTGTCTTTCCTCTCTTGAGTAAATCCCTTGACTTCACTAACAAAAAAAAATCCATCAAAGTACATCTTTGTGTTTATAACAATTCATATGCCTGCCGTTTCTCCATCTGATCCCTTTGCTCCCTCCGGCCTCTTCTTCCCCGGAGAATTTTCAGCTGACACAGAGCAGGGGAGGAGCCGGCCTGACCCCGGCCACGGGTGCAGGAGGCTTACGGTTGCTTTGCGTATATTTTGCTGAGTTGGTGTTGGACATTTTTGCATAAACTTCTAGTTCACGAGTGCCATTTCTCACTGTTCCCGCTGTCCTCTGCCTAGGTCCGTTTCTTTGCCCTAATTTTTGCCCAGTTGGGTTGTTTGCCTCCACGATTCCCGACGCTTGAACCTCCTGTCCCCGGGCCTGACCTAATTCAGGGTTCCGGCTGTTGTTTGGTTTATTTCTCCACTTTTGCAAGCGCACGTGGCTCTTCTGAGAGCTTCCTTCCCTTTTGCTCCTAGGGGACCCGGGTTTTGGGGTTCACTGGGGCTCGGAACACGTGCTTTAAAGCAGCCACGACCCCCTTCCCCCCCGGGGCCTGGGCCCCGAGCTCTGCAGGCCGAGGAGGGGGCGGGGCGCAGGGCCCGGCCGGGTGAATCACAGGGCGTAACAGGTGCCGCAGCCGCAGCTGCGCCCGCATCCCGCTCGGGCTCTGGGGATAAGGTTTTCTTTTTCTCCGGGTTTTTTTGGAGGCGAGGAGGAGACTCCGGAGGCCCCCACCGGACCAATGCAGGCCGCGGTTGTTCATCGCCTAGCAACTGGCGGAGCCAATGGGAGGCGGCCGGGCCGGGCGCGGGGGCGGGCTGGGAACCTGCCGCGCCAGGGAGGTGGCCGCGAGGGGCGGGGCCGGCGGGAGCCCGCGGCGGAGGCGGGGCCGGCGGCTCGGGCGCTGCGTGCCGCCGCGCCTGTGCGGGCCCTCGGGGCTGCGCGAGCGGGGCTGGGACGCCGAGTGGTGCCTCGCCGCCGCTCCCGGGGTCGTGACGGTGAGAGCCTCGGCCCGCGGCGGGGATTGTGACGCTCCCGCCTGGGGAGGGGCGCCGGCGGGGCCGAGGGAGGGCGGGGGCGGGAGAGCGGCGCGGAGGTGAGCGCCGGCACCTGGCTCGGCGCCCCGCTTCTCCGCCAGAGGCTCGGCGTGGCCGTTGGGGCGGTTGCAGGCGGCGGGCGAGCGTTGACCCCGGTCCCGCCCGGAGGAGGAGGTGGGAGGTAGGTGCCAGCCCGGGGACCGCTCCGGCCCGGGGAGCCCCAAACCCTCTCCAGGATGGAGAGGGTGGCGCCTGGCGTGGGATGACGAGCAGCGCCGGGACGAGGCGGGGAGGAGGGGCGGACGGATTTGGGGCTGCGGTGTCTCCTTGGCAGAGGCTGCGGGCAGGCGGGGTTCGGGATTTGTTAGCGCGAGCCGCAAGAGGCAGTGGTTAGAATGAGTTCCCGGGTGGCCCGTGGCCGCTGCAGGGGAAGAGGACCCTGATCGTGGTCTGGTAACAAGTCTAGGGGAAGAACTTCCACCATCCAAGAGGCAGGCGTGTGCGAGAATATTTTGGTGCAGAATTTTATAGTAAAGTACCAGAAACCGAATTGTGAGCTCTCAGCCCCCTTTTGAGCCTATGCTGATCGCCTAGTTACGCAAGTCACTTGGGCTCAGGAAATGGAATCTGCTAAATAATTTGTCCTCAGCATGTGTAATATGGGAATCTTTAGCTTAGTACTCCATTTCAAGGTCCATAGTTAGGTTTGCCAAATTGTCATTACTTGCAACGCTGATACAGTTCTTGTTGAATCTGAGAGAATCGAGATTTCCCTTTTCTGGACCCCATAAATGGATGAGGATTAGAAGAGTCACTCCTCCGAGGGTGGTTCAGAAGTGAACTCTGAAATTGCTGGGCTCCCCTAGCAGTTCAGATTAGAGTCTAGGTCTAGAGTTGGCGGTGAATGATGGGTGCCTTGGAACCCACCATGTCTCAGGAGGGATTAGTTTACTGCTCAGGTAGAAGAAAATTCTGGCAGCCTTGATCCTGAAGTGGAAAGGTAGGTATGACTTGACACTTTTAGGAGACTGAATATAATTTGAAAAGACTTAGAGATCTAGAGAGAGAAAAAAATGCTCTAGAGTTAAAGTTTAGGTCAAGCTGTCTTGAAATTTAGAAGAGGTAGATTTATGAACTTGGATTCAGTCAGCAAAACAACCCATCAGATCTCCTGCCCTAGAGCTGTCATAACCTGTGGGCCTAGGAAGCTTACGTTATTGATTCATATTTAACCAGTAAAAGCTAATAACTGATTGACACCATTCTGCCTGCTGTCAATGAAATTTTCTCAAAGTGGTTCTCTGAGAAGAGGATTAGGAACTGATAGTTAGAATGAGGTCTCTTTTAGTGACTTGGTGGGCCTCTTCAACCAAGTCATTTTATACCCTTCTTCCCTTCTCTTTCCCCATCTGTGCAATGAAGATAATAAAGCCCCAGGATTAAGTAACAAGGGAAGCAGCTTGAAGATAACTGCAAAGACTTAGTTATTCTAGGATGAAATGTGAAGATCGCCTCATAACACATTGCGCCTGTGACAAGACTTGTTAAAGCACATAGCGTTCCAAGCATGCTGAGGCCCTATAGGAGAAAACGAAAATGTTATCTGTTCAGATGATTTGCCAAAGGCCTCAAGGCCAGCACAAAGTCAGAGTATATTCTTGGGTTCTCCAGAAACCTGACATAGCTGCTCTTTGACAAAGCTGGCTGTGGCACAGGTTTTTATAAAAGAGGCAGATGAGTGCCTTCTATGTCATATGCACTTAGAGGTGAAATGATACCGATGAAAAAGACACTGCCCCAGAAGTGTGATTTTAATTCATTTCACATACTTAAATTAGAGCACTTCCAAAGCTTTTTAAGTGATGTTTTTCCATGTCTTTTACAATAGTTGTGAATATGCCTTATTAGTTTGACTATTTGCTAAGGACACAAAGGGTTTTGATACTCTGTCTTTGGTGAAGGCAATCGTGATTAATTGGTAGTGAAGGTACAAGTTATCTTGAATTCACGAGTTTATGGGATGAGGTAGAATAGAGAAGTGCACCTTTCCTGTTGGTAATGGAAAACAACCTAAAATCTTCACTTTTGAGAGTGAGTCAATATTATATAGTACCAGCAGGTGTACTGAAGTATGCTTTAATGATTTATTCTTCAATAAACATTTATTAAACACTTAACTAAGCTGCTACTTCCCAGACCTGAGGATAACAAAGATGTGTTGCCTTGGGGAGTTTTTTAAAGGAAATTTACCGTGTAGTCAGGGAGAGAGCAAAAATAGAAAATAAAAATTGCAAATATGAGACGGCTTTAGAAAAGAGAATTTCAGCTGGAGAAGGAGTTCACCTGGTGAACACATTCACATGTTCTGCGGCAAAATATCTCTGAAGAAGTACAGGTGGTTTGGTTGGTGGAGCCAGGTGGCCTGGGTTAGTGATAAGGTTGGTGCACAGGGCTATGACCTTTGCCCAGTAGGTGAAGGGAACCTTTAAAAGGTTTTATCCAATGGAATTATGTTTGATTTTTACTTTAGGATATTTCCCCCCAAATCAGTAGGTCGAGTGATTCTCTAAACATAGACCATCCAAATAATACCAGAGCGACAACAGCCCTACACAGCAATTAAAGATTTGAAAAATATTGAGGCCCCCAGAGACTTTAGAAAAGCAGAAATTATTGTTCATGCAACCAACCTTTATTGAGTATCTTCTACTCTTAGGATTAGAGGAATAGAGATACAGAGATAAATAAGATACAGCCCCATTTTCAAGCAACTTGCAATTCAGTAGGAGAAATAACACAATTATAATGCAGTGCAGAATCTGAATGTCATAGGAGGCCTAAAATGTCAGGCCCTAGCAATGTGGGATTCTGAGATGAGAGAAGACACAAATTATCTTTCAAATTAAAAATAAGTTCTTAAATAGAGATTAAACTGCAGCCAGTTAAACAGAACCATTTCCACTGTAATATTTACAGTTCTCATCTGTTAGCCCTTGCTTCACATATTGCCCTGCCTCCCTCTTACTCTCCTGAGTCAGAATTCGCGTTTGATCACCATCCTGCCAGCTCTGTGACCCTGGGCAGGTCACATCTTGCCCTTATCTTCTCTGTGCCTTAGTCATCTCATTTGTAAATTAGAGATAATACCTACTTCATAGGATTGTGATGATTGAGTAACAAAACATGTAAATATCCAGAGAAATATCCTGGAGAAATAGCTTACATTTATTGAACATTTAATATTATTATTATTTCTATTTGATATAAAAGTGCTGTAATCAAATAACTAATTTAAGGACAGGATTTTTTTTAGTCACTAGTGGATCTAACTTGGAGCACCTAATAAGGCCTCTACATTCAGAGAAGCTAAATTATGTAAAAGTAAGCTTTTTTTTTTCTTTTAAAGATTTTATTTTTCCTTTTTCTCCCCAGAGCCCCCCGGTACACAGTTGTATATTCTTAGTTGTGGGTCTTTCTCGTTGTGGCATGTGGGACGCTGCCTCAGCGTGGTCTGATGAGCAGTGCCGTGTCAGCGCCCAGGATTCGAACCGACGAAACACTGGGCCGCCTGCAGCGGAGCGTGGGAACTTAACCACTCGGCCATGGTGCCGGCCCCAAAAGCAAGCTTCTTAAAGTGATATTTATTATCTCCTTTTCTTATTTGCCGATCCCTTTTCTGAAATCCAGTTTCCGTTTTTACCCCGTCAGCTTTGTCATCAAGTCACTAATTGCCAAATTCAACATATTTTTCTGTTCAGATCTTTCCCTTCATATGGCGTTTGCTGCTGTTCATCACCGTCTCTTTAAAACTTTCTTTTCCTGGCCTTCCTAAAGCACCCTCCACCCCTTTAATCTCCTGCATCTAGGTCACCTTCACTCGCCTGTTCTTTAGGGTTCTTTCTGCTGTCCCTTTTTTCTGTGTGGATTCAACTACCAGGTATATACGGATGACTCATAAATCTACCCTAATGTCTTCTGACTCCAGGCCCTGGAGTTTATCCCCATTTGAATGTCTCATGAAGTCATCTCTAAACCCAGTAAATTCTACACTGAGCTCATTATCTTCACACACTTAACCAGACCCAGTTTTATTAACCTTACTCCATTCCCCTTATCTAAGTGACACTATTATCTGTCTAGTACCAAAGACAGATTTTTACATGAGAGAATCAGTGCCTCCCTTTTGTGTACTTGTTGCCCTGTTTTTCAGACCAGCTTCTGAAGTATTTATCCTTCAGTATCCTCATTGTCACTGGCTAATTCAGCCACGCAGCCCCTGGTCATTAATTGCCCAGTTTGCTATAATATTTTTGTACCGGGGCTGCTCAAAATGGAACCTATTTTGGAAACATTAAGTTGGGAGGAGATTACTAGAATAACATTGTTCTAAAAGAGTTGTAGCACTACATGTGATTTTAAGACTATATGCAGAATTTAATGTGTGGCCAGTAGATGCTTATAAGCCAGGATGGGTTCCAGTCATTGCATGTGTTTTTCACCTGAGAGTTGGTAGTCTGGGTTATGCGGGTCCCAGTCTTGAGTTTGTCAGTTTATTGTAATCTGGTTGTCTCTGCTTTTCTATCTAAAAGATGGTACCTTCAACATTATTCTCTCTATTCTGTATCCAAGTTTTAGAAATAGCCCTCTACGTAGGATCTAGCATGTAAAAGCAAGACATCTTAGAAATCATAATAAATACAACCCATCATCAGCTGTGTTATTTTATAATGAAGAGATGGGCTCAGAGAATTTACATCATTTGCTCAGGATACTTGTTTGAGTGTTAAGAGGAGGCCCGGGTCTGAGGCTTTGGAATCATAAATAGCTAGTTTTTATTCTTACCTTTCAGGTTAAATAGCTGCGTTTTTATTCCCACCTTTCAGGTTGTAACTCAGTAAGTTCCCTAATCTCTGAGTCTCAGATTCTTCCATCAGTGAAATAGTGTTCTATCTATTCTTTCT